CCCTGAAACTCCAGAGCTTCTTCTGAATTCGCTGACTTGCATTTACCCTTTGCCTTTGCTGCTTTGACACCAACAGGCCTTGCTTCTTCCTCTTCTGCCCCATAGTTCGATGACTGTGCAGCCTAGTCATCCACCTTTCTTCTTTTCGAGCTAACCTTGTCTTTAGTAGTTGAAGCTCCACACCATTTTTGATCATGGCGAAGCTCCAACCAGGCATGCTCCAGTGAAAAGTTGATCTTGTTGTCATTGAAGAATATCTTACGCGCGTTCTTTAAAACATCGTCCTCACTTATCCCACTTGTTGGCGCGTGCTTTTGTTGCAGCTTCATAACATCCAACAAACTTACATACACCCTCGTTGATCTTCCCCCATCTTTGTTTACACTGAGATGGCGTCCTCTTTTGCAAATCAGATAACTTTGGACTTGATGAAACATAGTTTGCAATCCGTTTCCAAAAGGCAATCGCCTTCTGTTCATTCCCCACCACATGATCCTTGGAAGTGTTCAACCAAGCACTGATGAGCACAGTATCTTCAGTTGGTGACAATTTCCTTCTTTCTTTACAGTCTGAGACAACGTAATCATCTTCCATCCATTCTCTACTGAAGACAAAAGCATCTGATGAAGAGATTCCTACACTAGGTTCATGAGTGGTAAAGGCGAAGGTGGTATTTGTTTGTTGACTATTTAAGAGGCTTTGAAAGCTACCAGGTTGAGTAAATGGTTCCATAGCAAAAGGGGAAGTGGTTTTGAATTATCAAAAGTGGAATGAGATACGAAGAAGAAGGAGTTGCTCGGTTTTAAATTAAAAGTTAGGGAGAGTTTAGTAGGTTCTAGTTATAAGACAATCAATTTATCTACCAAAAACTAATACAACTAACAACTAAAATTTCTTTTTTACGTTCATTACCTAAGAAGAAACCAACCAAGAAAAGTTACTGTAAGTTCTTCTACTCAACTAACAACTACAATTCATTTAATTCCAACTGTATCACTGTCTAACAAGCATTAAAAGTTGTGTTTAGTTATTACCTCTTGCTTAATGAATTGAAAAAGAGCTGCATTGATGATGTAACTTCATTGTTTTATCCCACCATACGTATAACCTGCAATAATAAACTCATAACGTAAGCAAAAGATTGTTTTCTCTGACTTTTAAATCAAGATTTTATAAAAGAGTGAAATAACTTTGTAATAGTTTTGTGTGTCTTATTCACATGTGTTTATATACAACATCGAATATTCTAATGAGCTATTAGGACTGATCAAACTAGCATATTAGTTATCTCATTACAGTATAATTGATTACCTTTGGACAAAGACGAGGTAGGACTCGACACAACACATCCATTTCCCTTCAAACATTCTGCCACAATCATCTTCAGCTGCAGCATCTTTCCTCTCGCAGACTGTTAAAACAAAGACACCAAATTAATAAGATGTTCGAACTTGAAGGATGACGCTCTAATATTATAATTGATTCTTAAACCCCAGAACAAGGGCTTACCTTGTTGACAGAGTTTATTCTTTTGGTCGCATTGTCTAGTTTTGTCTCGATGCCTCCTTCTTCAAAATGCGCGACGAGCTTCTGGTGTGATGTTCCTGTCAACAAGAGATATATTAGCATCAAGTTAGTTTAGGCAAAGAATTTTGGCCAGAAGCTCTTCTCTTGCCAGAAAGAATCAAGCTTTGATACTTTCTCCACACACAAGTGTTCATCATACATTATAGAAGGAATTACAGAAGTGAACTTACTTTGCTTCTCTATGCTTCCTTTCAACTCTGAGTGGTTCGCTTCAAGCCCTTCAATAGTACTCTTGACATCTTCAAGATGGTTCCCGACAACGTCCTTAAACTTTTCATGTTGCTCTGTAATAATAATACGGTCAGATTAGTCAGTGAAAGATCATGATAGATCTTGCATATTCTCATTCAACATAATGAATTTATGAAGACAATTTCAACACTATTACAAACTAATTGATATGCCAATACATAAACCATTTTTTTTTCAAAATCAATAGATACAAATAAAGAGTATCCAGGTTCCTAAAACTCAAAATGAAACTACCAAAAGACCTCTGAGAAATCAAAAACTCCACCATCAAATACACAGAAGATAGGAAAGGGTTTTCGTTTTACCTGTCTACGCGTTTGGATGGAGAAGTGATTGCATGCAAGGATCAGAAGGAGGAGATCGACGAAGAACAAAACGGATCACACCTCATTTCCGTTGGATCCTATTCGACATATTCGACGATGAAGAGAGAGACCAAAAGGAGGAGATCGAAGGAGAACGCAATCAAACATCATCTCCGTTGGAGATTTCAACGGATCAACGACGAAGAGGAAGAGCGACGACGGAGAGAAAGAGTGAGATGATTTGAAATCAGTGATTTCGAATGAGAGAGAACCGACTAACAAAAGGGAGAGACATGTTTTTTTCAAGCCAATAGGCTTCTTCCACGTGAGGAGTCTTAAGCGCATCTACTTCTCTTAATGAGGTCGCGGTTCTCTCTAATTTTTGTATTTTTCATTTATTTTTTTCCCCTTATTTCGCGTAGAACTCCTCCTACAATCTCCCGATGAACCTGGTCTTAGACCAATATATTGGGCCTAGTCATCTTATGTTTTCTTTCTAATTTCACGTTGAAGTGACGTGAACTGGTCCGCTTGTATTTCTCTTGTATTTAGCCTATTGGGCTCAATCAATAAAACCAATTGCCGACTAAAAACAGGCATAGTATTGGTTTAGAAATTCAAATTCATGTTACCCGATCTTGTAGGTTCTATCTAATTCATTTCTGAAACTGGCCCAGCAATATGACCAAATTTAAACTAATTCAAGGCGATACTATAATATCCATTGAAGACATCTGGATAATTCCAAATTTCCCACGCTCAACTACTCATATAATAGGTCAAACTTTTTCAATTTTCTAGGTCCGGCATTTTCTAAACATTGACACTTGGGAAACACTCACACTTATTAGTTTTGGACAGGTGTTCACCATGCCTCATTATTAATTTGTTATATAGGAGTAGTATTTTTGTTTCATCAAGTTGTTTCAACGTGTTACATGGTCATAGATGGCAGAAAGAAGCAAGATAGATGCTAAGTTGGTTTGTTCCCAACATGGAGTGTTGGTGCAAGACTGGATGACATTCAAAACAATTGCTTTGGAGAAAAGAAACGGGTAACTAATTTCTCAGTCATCTGTTGTGAGATGTATTTATATAAACAGACTTTTGATTTCACATAGACATTCGTTCTAAAATGCCAAACATCAAATCTTTATTGGCGTGTAATTTTTTATACTTTGCTTGGCCAGGACAATGGTTAAGATAGCAGAAGAGAAATATGATCATCTCATGATCAAAATTATCAACTCGTGCACAACATCTGATATCCTAAAGGTGTGTGCTCTTTATTTTTTTTTTGCTAAATTGTGAATATTCATAAATGAAAGGTTAGGGTTATTTGTGCTCTTTACTTTAACGCAAGAATTATAGCTAAGGATGGCTGATCTTTACTGTGGAAAGCGTGTGTTTGGTGGATGCTCGTCCTTGCTGTGCTTTCTCTAATTGGCTTGTGTGGTAAACTACCGAGTAAGTCCATCGTCGTCTCTCTCGTTCTTCTCTCCACCAACACCTTTTTTCCTCAGCTCTTCTCCTCCGAATCCCTCTGGTGGCCGGCGGTGGGTCTATTTCCCGTCGGTCCACCACCACCAATCACCCCGCTGATCCAATTCCTCTTTCTGTCATGCTAAGGACTCCTCACTGCCTCTTTGCTTCTCCATCTCTGGTTCTTGCCGGATTGTGGCCAGATCCAGTGACCAAATCAACGGCTGGGTGTGTATTCAGTGTCTCTGGAGAGAGGGCGAGGTCGTGGCAGTCTGTATGCTTGCAGGCGGCGCTGTTGTTTTGGTAGATCTAGGGTTTCGCTTGTGCTGGTTCTGGGTCAGTTCCGGTACGGAGGCTCACCGGAGTGTAGTGTGTCGCTGCCTCTTCTCCTCCGGTCTTCAACCTCCTCTGCTTTCCCCTGTCTCCTCCTGCGGCCGCAGCTTCTAGAGCTTCCCCGTCTTGTTCCCATGGTCTGAGACGAAGCGACGAGACTGAGGAGCTCGTTGGGGACCTCTCCATTAGTTCAAGCGACAACAACCATGGCTTCCTTTGGTGATGTGTTCGTCTCCTCCTCTTTGCTACCGACGTTGTCTGCTAGGGTTTGAGGACAACCCGATGTGGTGACTCACTTGCTCTTAGGCGGAGTTCTCCATCGCCTCTAGGCTGTCTGTTTGCAAGGAGAGCTATGCCTCCTTCCGTCCTTTATACCCTTGTATTCATAGCTCCGACGAGTTGGCTTAGTGTTCCTTCGGGGTCTTTGCTGTATCCTCTGTGTCGCGTGGGTGGTGTTGGAGCATGTTGTACCGCCTATGCTTGACCGTAACTCGAGCTTCCATGTAAGCAGTGTTACTACGGATGAACCTTCGTCTTGCCGTCGAGATTGCTAGGATTTGTTGGTCGAGGTCCTCCTCCAGCGGAGCTCCGGGGCGTAAGCCAGGCGCTTCTGTTGATGCCTGCTCGGAGCCACTTCGGTGAGTTCTCGACCGAACTTTCTCTGACCATTCTCTTGCTTCATCTGGTTTGTTTCAGGTTCATCAAGAAGGCTTTGAATTAGGGTGATTATAATGTTGTCTACTTGATCTTTTAGCCTATTAATTTCAAGTTCTCTATGTATGAAGCTTGGAATTAATCCATATGTATCCTAGTGGTTTTTTAATTTTTTTGCGGTCACTAGGATCAAATCAGCTGTTGCAGATTGTGGTTTCGATTAACTTTGTAACCAAACTTTCATTTTCATTAATGATATTTACCATTTAGCAAAAAAAAAAAAGTCCATCGTCGTAAGCATGATCTCCAATTGTGAGATTGGAAATCAAACTATTGTGCACATTCGTGATTCGTGTCGATGATTTTTTTCCTATACGAGTTGAATTCATGCGTGGCGAGGACTGTTATGTGTGAGAAAATAAAATCAATATAACCAAAATAAATTCAATAAATTATTATACATATTTATTCAAAGAATATTTTAGTTAGTTTTGCTATTCATTCGATGATAAACTCTGGCTATATTCGGTTACATTTTTTTGTAACAATATAAGTTTAAGTTCAGTTTCGTTTTCTTTGTAAGATAATTTCGGTACTGTTGGGGATTAATATAAAGTTATATAAACTAGGTTTCTGTTTCATGAATATTGGTGGTTTTGACTTTTGATGCCCAACCATTATGAACCATAGCACATAATTACCATCTACGGTTAAAGTAGGGTTTCTTTGATCATAAAGTTTATATGATTTGTTATGAATGAAATGTTAACGTTTTTAATACCTTTATTTGATCTACTTGACCAAATGGGGAAATAGTTTTCTCATACAGCTCCCTTTTTCCGATAGTTATTTGAGAACTCAACTAATGTATGATTCTTTGGTTATGTGGCGTTTGTTCTCTTAGCGATATCTAGCTTCCCGCAAGTTTAATTTCATAATATAGCTTATAAGTGTCCATATCATTCAATTGCAGGAGTTGGCAACGCTTATTTTTGACAAAGCCATCCTTGATCCTACCTTTTTCCCTATGTACGCTAAGCTGTGCTCTGATATCTATGACAAGCTGCCTACTTTTCAACCTACAGAGCCTGGGGCTAGAATTGACACATTCAAGAGGATTTTGGTCAATCTATGTCAATCACTGTTCGAAGGAGCTGAAAAGTTAAAGGAGGAGCTTAGAGTATACGCGTCAGATCAGAAGGAAAAGGAAATGATGTTAAGGCCCCAGACTCTAGGAAATATTCGTTTGATTGGTGAGCTTCTAAAGCAGAAGATGATACCAAAGAAGATAGCTCACCAAATTATTATGGTTAAGTAACGCTAACTTACCAGCTTACGCATTTTCAGACAACTTTTGCTTTTGTTTATTTATTGTAACTTTTATTGTACAGGTGCTTTTGGGTGATGATTGTGGGAACCAAAATTCACCCCTGTCGATTTTACGTAAGTTTAGGAATTTAGAGTAAACCCTAATTTTCCAGAGGACCCGGCTATCTGCGGAACTGCACACAAGCAATCAAGAACACAATTTAAATGAAAATAAAAGATGTAAAAGACAACGAGATTGAGAAAAAAAAAAAGATCTTATTCGGAATTCGTGTAAGAGTGGTACAACAAGAGTAGCCCTATCTGCGAGAGCCATCGGCGAGATTCCTAGTTCTAGCAATTTAAGACTAAAACCCTAGTTGAGACGCAGCTGTATAACAAAAACAGAAATATTCCTAAGTACTAAGTTTGGTGGTGAAAACTCTGAAAATTCGTCCTGTGCTTCTGTCATTTGCATTCTGCTTATAGACTCCCTCTTTTAGGCGGTTTAGTCATTCCTTTTCGCTTAGCTTCGAGTTTATCGGGAATCTTCTATTTATCTTGATTTTTCCGTTTTCTTTGCGGAAATCTTCTATTTATGTTCAAACTTGACATTTATCTTCAAACTTGATATTTATCTTTTTTCTGCGAGTAAATATTTAAATCTTCATTGCATCTTTGGGTTGGATTTCATTTAAAGTCGCAAGTGGACTTTTATGGCGCTTTTGGGCTGTCCAAACCGTTTTGCGATAAAAATCGTTTAACGATTTTAGACGAGATCGTTTCCTGATACGATGCCGTTTTTATAAGATTTCTTGAGTTGATCGTATAGTTTGACAATGCACGATGTTCTGTCTAATCGTTGCCGTTTTATACGATCTTCCCAAACTTTTACGAGAAAAGAAGACTTTTATGATTTTTATCGTAAAACTCGAACGGTAAGACGGACCGAGACAAAACGAGAGACGTTTAGACCATGGTTCAGAGCATGAACAAACCAAAGGGCGTATGCCTTGCGTCAAGGACGTGGAAGATCAAGGCTCGAGACGGTCAGCTCGACGTACGGCGAGCTGGTCCGGGACCGATCAGTTCGCCGTACGGCGAGCTGAACCGGCTGGTTCGGCTTGTCGTACGGTTAACTTGGTTCGGTCGAACCTGCTCGCGGTTTACGGCGGATGCGGTTTTTACGGTTTTTTGCTTAACTTGGCAATCGTGTAATCGACGATTGTTTCGTTTGTTCTTCCGAGATGACGATTGCCAAGTTTTCCGTTGATTTCCTTTGTTCGGAAAGTTCTTAGAATTTTATAAAACAACTTCTCGAGTTTTATAAAACATATTTTTACTATTGCCGAAATTTTTGGTCATTGATTCCGTCATAATGATTTTGACCCCAACAATGATGAGAAAAATTGTCCATCGGAAGAAAATGTCAAAGTTGTTTGGCTCTTTCTCAAAACTATCGGCAAAAAACCTATGAGGTCAAAACAGATCAATTATGTATTTCTCGGTCGTTTACAGACCGTGTCAAATCATCCTCAGTTGGTTACACCACTGAGAATTTCGGAGACCATTAATTTTTTGTGCTCTAATGGGGGCTTTAAAATATCATCATAATTATAGAGAAAATTACTAGAATGATATACAAAAGCTTGTATATGACTAGAATAGTATACATTTTCTAAAAATTATTAGAATATTTTCAGACTCCTAGTAAATTACAATAAACAGCCTTATTTTATTTTATTACTATTGATACAAATTTTAATTATTAAATCCACATTATAATTAGGTAATCCACGTCAGTAATTTGTGTTATCAACAATTACACTGGAAAATCAACAATCCCATATCTTCGGTGAAAAAAGTCATAATGTCACAACTTCTTCGTCACAACTTTCGTTAAACCCTAACCGAGTACGAAATCACGAAATCATCTTCGTCACAACTAATACTCTCGTATCAAACTGTTTCTGATATCGTAAATCATCTCCGATATCATCTTCGTCGACATCCTCTTCTCCGCAAAAGTTTTGACGCAATCGTATCCACGACATCATCTTATATGGTATGTTGTGGCTGAGTTTTGTCATGTCCCCGATCCTGAGTATGATCGTCTGGACGGACCATGGTGCGAGGAGACGCATCAGTCAGGTCACGAGACCTAAAGGCAAGCATAGCATGGTCTAGCAACATGGTTAAGGGCATCAGGGAGCTGAGACTTAGCCATATGAAGAAGGAAAAGGAGTTAAAGGAGCTACACAAGTAAAGGGGGAGCTCAACGGGGTTATGGGAGAGCTTGACCTAGCTCGGGTGAGCTCATCCCAGCTCGGTCTAGCTTCACAGTCACTAGTCAGCTCACACCATCTGAACCGTCATGTTCTCATTCCTGGAACTTGACACAAGTCTTAGACATTCAATAGAAGCGAGACTGCTTTGGTTCAGATCATGAAAAAGCTCGATGAAGCAAATCACCAAAATGGATCATGGGAAAACTAAGTCTAGGTCGGGAGATAGACCAAGGAACTTAGAAGGATTGAATAAGATGAAGATATCAAGCTGTATGAAGTGTATCACACCTGGGTGATGCGAGCAAGCTCAACCAGCTGGACAGAGCTCAATTGGAGCTCAAGTAAAGTGTGCCAGCTCCCTGAGCTGGATGGACTAGCTCACTCAGCTGGGCCAGCTGGGGATCAGCTCAACTCACCTGGACAGAGTGCTCAAGTCTTGGGCAGTTGGGCCGGGTCTGGATAGTGACCAGGCCATGTGGGTGACCCATGTGTACCAATGGGCCACTGGGCTCTTGTGGTTGGGCCATGGGCATTGGCAATCACTTTGGGCTTGTTTTGGACATATCCAGGAGTTTTTTGTAAAGTCCAGGATGTCTGGTAACTGCCATAGGTGAACAGGTGTGATCTGTACCATTGATTAAATCAATGGCCAGAAATGAAACCGAAGGGATGCAATGGTTAAGAAGTAACCACCCCTTCTTCTTTAAAAGGCAGGCAAGTCCGTGCCTTTGCAGGCACGCCAGAGATCCATTCCTCACCCTGAAACACAAAGAAAAACCAGAGAAAAACAGAGAGTTGGTCGGATTTCCAATCCAAACTCCAAGAGAGATTCAAAGGCAGCAAAGATGCAGTTTTGTGGGCAATCAAGTGGGAAGTTATGAACGACCCTGTGATGGGTTTTCACCATTGATGAACATGTCCAGGATTCCTCTACATCCATAGAAGACACGCAAATGGCCAGGGAAGAAGAGAGATGACCGGATTCACTCTCAAAGTCCAAGGGCAGCCTTGAAGGCAGATGTGTGTCAAAAGACAGTTTCATGGGCACTAAAAGGGGAAGTGATGCACGACCCTTGGGTGGTGATTGATCATGAATGACCGCCCTAGGCTTCCTATTTGTCCTGGGAACACACGAAAATGGTAAGGAGAGAAGGGAGAAGGCCTGACTCCACTCTCAATGGCATGAACAGTCCAGGCCTTGATGAACACAGTTTGACAGTCCATGGCCTTGGATGGTCTTGGCTGGCCTGATCTTGTCAGATCTCATACTTCCATTGGGATTTATGAAGATCTAATTACATATTCTTCTTAGTGGGGAATTATCATGAATTATCATGGTTTTTAATTATTTTTTAGGAATTTATTTAGAGGTGCTCCCTTATGACCGATTTGGCTAAATTGGGTCCGGATCTATGTGATCCAGGCCGGTTCTTGGGTATATGATTGGACCATTCTCTTAGTTAGTATTTATCATGAATTTTCAAGGTTTTTAATTAATTTTTAGGGATTTATTTGGAGTAGGTCAGATTTGGCCAGATAGTGAATTCTAGAAACCGAACCATGCTTTTCTAGAACTGTTGCTAGGATATCGGTTTAGATATGTATTGGTGATGTGTTATAAGGATCCAAGACCTTGAGGAAATGATCGGATCATTGATGATCTACCTCATCCATGTGGGGTGATGGTTAGATGATATCCTTGTGATAATGATCAATGTTGGATCATGGATTGATATTGGGTTTGATCATGGTGTGAATTATTGATCTGGCTCATTGAGGAGACACATGGGGTCCTAGTATCAGAGGAACCATGTGGAGTGCAAGGTCCAATTCCTTTGGAACCAACAACAAGCAAAGGAGATGAGTAAGGCTAGTACTTGTTGGCATGGACCATAAGTATTGAGCTGGTGTGTTATATAAGGAAGGCCGTGTGTGATCTGATCATTGGCAAGGATGGACGACATGATCCATAGTTGATGGATCAAGGTGTCTGATCTGATTGATCAAAGGATGCACCGGTTGTAAGAGTTAAACTGATCGGTTCATTGGGACATGGTTCCATGGCCGGTTAGGTGAGTGTGAAGACTCATCAGTTCTGAGTCATGTGGGGTTGTTGGTTGATTGACTTAGGATCTGATGAATATTGTTAGTCCATGACAAGGACTTGGTATCATGTTCGACAAAGAATAAGGATGATGCATGAGCTGAGAAGAGCTAGATGCATGTCCTTTACCATTGAAGACTTCCCAAAGGTTACTTGGTCAGTGGGGATGGTTGGTTGAATGACTAAGTACCCAAGGGGAGATGTTTATGCAGGAGTAAGAGAGCTGGACGAGTTGGCAGGAAGCTGGGCGCAGCTATCTTGTAGCTCGATCAGCTGGAAGAGGATAGATGCAACCTCAAGAGAAGTGGTTCAGCTTAGCTAGCTAGATGAGCTAGCTAAACAACCTGAGGCAGCTGTCCTTAGCTCGGTTTCAGCTAGCTTAGGTGTATCAGCTCGATGAGCTTGACGAGCTAGCTAAGTTAGATAGGAGTATGAGCTAGCTAAGTCAGCTAGGAGGATGAGCTGACTAGGTCATCTGAACCGATGAGCTAACAAGCTCCGTGGATGTGGCAAAGGTATGATCTAGCTACTTTCTTTTAGTTATAGCTAGAATGGTTTAGGTGAATGAAACCTCAGATTTGTATGACTTGGTTTGGGTTTAGGATCAACCTTGGAGCTAGT